TGATCTATCATACCACATGTACTCATCAATTATCAACTCCTGACCAATCTCTTCAGCTGTGTTGCTGTTGTTGTTAGGTGCTGTCAAGTCGGCTCCAACTCACAGTGACCTTATGTACAACAGAACGAAACACTGCCATTCTGTGAAGATGCTACAGAAAGAAAAGAGGGAGTGAGGCTATTGGACCCAGGGAGCTGTTGACACAGAAGCACTAGGGCAGGAATGTGCTTGGCGTGTTTGATGCTCAGCTAAGGAGCCAATGGGATTGGAGCAAAGAGGAGGACAGGTGAAGAGAATATTAGGGGCCATGGCTATGCTTGACTGATTGTAAAGCTTCCCTGGGTGAAGCCCAGAGGCTTGCCTGGGTTTGCCTTGGCAGCAACAAATACAGCCATAGATGGATCCTCCCTGTTGATGAGGATATTAAAGGGTTGAGGATGTCGTGTGCCATCCTCACAATCTTTGCTATACCTGAGCCCATTGTTGCAGCCACTACATCAATCCATCTTGAGGGTCTTCCCCCTTTTCATTGACCCTCCACTTTACCAAGCATGATATCCTTCTCCAGGGAATGGTCCTTTCTGACAACATGACCAAAGCAGGTGAGACCAAGTCTGGCCAGTCTCACTTCCAAGGAGTATTCTGGCTGTACTTCTTCCAGGACAGATTTGTTAGTTCTTTTAGCAGTCCATGGTACTTTCAATATTCTGCTTGGATTAGGCACACCGTAGTCTTCAAAGAGATGTCTTTGCTCTTCAGTATTTTAAATAGGTTTTTTTTGCAGCGATTTGCCCAGTGCAATACTACATCTGATTTCTTGACTGCTGCTTCCATTAGTGTTGACTGTGGATCCAAGTAATATGAAATCTTTGACAACTTCAATCTTTTCTCCATTTATCGTGATGCTTCTTATTGGTCCAGGTGTGAGGATTTTCATTTTCTTTATGTTGAGGTGTAATCCATACTGCAAACTGTAGTCTTTAATTTTCATCAGTAAATGCTTCAAGTTCTCCTTACTTTCAGCAAGCAAGGTTGTTATCTGTGTATCACAGGTTATTAATGAGTCTTCCTACAATCCTGGTGAATCACCAGTAGTTGGAAAATTTGGCCTTGGTGACAGAAATAATGCTGGAACTCGCATGGTAGAATTTTGCAAGACCAAAGACTTGTTCATTGCAAACACCTTTTTTCAACAACACAAACGGTGGCTCTACATGTGAACTTCACCAGATGGAACACACAAGAATCAGATTGACTACATCTGTGGCAAGAGGCGGTGGAAAAGCTCAATATCTTCAGCCAATACCAGGTCAGGAGCTGATTGTGGAACAGACCATCAACTGCTCATATGCAAGTTCAACTTGAAGTTGAAGTCAATTAAAATAAGTCCAAGAGGGCCAAAATATGATCTTGAATATATCCCTCCTGAATTTAGAGATCATCTAAAGAATAGATTTGATGCATTGAACATCAACGACCGAAAACCAGAAGAATTGTGGGAGGATATCAAAAACATTATCCATGAAGAAAGCAAGAGATCACTAAAAAGATGAGAAAGGAAGAGAAGACCAAAATGGATGACAGAAG